TCGATGAATTACTGCAGGAGACAGAATGAATTAAGCCTTTTTTTAAGGGGGAATAAACCACCCCGTTCCTTCTCCTGCACTTCAAGCCGGAGCGTCGGTAACCCGTTAGGTTCTCCGCGACAGAATGAATTAAGCCTGAAGCCACAAAAAAGGGACTGTACAACTGGGTGAAGCCAGTCGCCAAGCACCACGGAAATTTAACTTAAAACTAAGTGGGACCTATGTGTGAGCTGTTACACTATGTAACATGATTAGTAACAAGTGCAGTTCAAAAAGTTTTAGAAACGTAAGCAGAGCCGTCATTACCATAAAGGCATTCGGGGCTCGTGCCCTGGGCCCCCATCCACAGGGGGGCCCCGAAGGACCGGCCACAAACTTGCTACACCTTGCGATGCGACTGGCTGCCACGTAACGTGTAGCGGGTTCCATTCCCACACGGAGCAAATCTTTGTGTGATTCACAAATTGGTGTTCCGTGTCTGGGTGTCATGTGTATGTGAACTTGTATGTTTATAAATCTACCAACGATGCAGAAGAAAATCCTAGTGTATGCAACGTTGAAAAAAAAAGAAACATTACAAAAGGGTCACGAATTTTGTGTGCCCCAGTGTAGTTTAAGGCGGCCCTGAACATACGACGTGATTTTAACATCGGCCATAATTTGACTTCATCGGAAATGGCGTGCGAATAGTATGGTAAATTTTTTAAGAGTAACATTGCAAGCTACAGTACAAACTTCTAAATCTGCCCACTCTGCAACCGGTCACGTATTGTCGTCCATTTCAATATTTACATTTGTAGATGCTGACTAAACTTATTTATATACTCAGTAGTAGTTAAGAGTTCTTTAGAAGTAGTACATTTTTGATAATCTAGATAAAAGAGTGCACATATATAATTGAAGTTCAGGGTTGAAAATAATTTGAATTTTCTTCCTAAGGAAAACATCGTGAGGAAACCTGGACTTATAATTTCTAATTATAAGTTTTAAATCACCAACTCGAATTGAGAAAGCGTGGTGATTAATGCTCAAACCGTCTCCGTGTGACAAGCGACCTCTGGTCAGCAGTGGCCACTTTATAGCCTGTTGATGTATGATGTGAGGGTTTAAGATATCAGGTTCAGGTTTGTCAGAAAACCCTGCAGCCTTGTCTCTGTTAAAGTGTAGAAGTATATCAGGAATTGCAGGGATTTTAGTACATTGTTGCGGGCTTGTCCAATAAAAAATAGAAATGTACTCCACTTTGCCATCATCTGACTCTAACTACTAAACCTCCTAATTTAAGATACCTAATTGTTAACTTCCATCTTATGGTACCAATGTCTTCTAAAACACTTTCTCAGACAATTAAAATCCTGCCTAAAAGTTGTGAAGTTAGACTAAACAAACAGGGTTGGTAGCCTTGGCGACAGGGCTTCCTCCCGGTTATCCGGTTACCGGAGGGCGGAGCGTCGACCGGAGATAGGGATGGGTGGACCAATCGAAGTGCTATGGAGTAATTCAATTTGGGCGAGAATGATGTAGTAGGTGTTGGTAGGATATAGTTTAAATTGTAGTCTTTAGGATCTTTAACGTATAATATTAAAGGGAATTTCTTTGTTTGTATCTTACATTTGTCTATATTCCAAGTGGCTTTAAAGTAAGAAATAACACATAGGTAATTATGTAAGTACTTACTTTAAATTAATCAGATGTCTAGGTTAGTACCTGGAACTACATGTCCGATGATTTCCCCCCCTTTAAAAAAAGGGCGCCCTCTACCGACGGCACCATTCATATCAGCTCTATATACTTCTTTCGTTACTCTACTTTCATTGTTCCCTAGTCTCTGCCTACCCCCATGGGAGACAGGCGTGAAGTTATGTATGTAGGTATGTATGTTATGTATGTACCTGAAACTGTGTGTTTATCTTTGGACGTATATCGATGTTTCTACAAAAGTGGAATTAGCTAACGTTCTAAACGCCGATTTTTCAAATATCAGTTATTATTAACGGTAGAATAAAATTGACAGTTGACAGTATTTAGTATGGAAGAATTGTCAAATATTCAAAGTTATTGCTCATTTAAACTATATCTGATGCTGGAAAAATCGTCCCTAAGGGCAAGAGTTCAATTTCATCAGAGGAATAAATTTGAATATTCGACAATTCGTCCATACTAAAAACTGTCAATTTTATTCTAAAGTTCAGAATTCACTGATTGAAAAATCGGCTTTATATCGTAGATTTCTATATCACAAAGAACGGGATAGATCTCATAGACATTTTTAACTCTATAATCATGAATTATGATTCTATTCTCAGCAGTTGCACTTAAAACATTAAATTAACAAGTCAAAATAATAACATCACGTCTTTTAATCCCCAAAGGAATAAACAGAAGCACTTACTTATCCTATGCAACACCCACTTTTCACCAGACACACCAACAATTACATCATAACCCAATAACAGCCCCAAAAAACCAGCTTAATCTAACACACCATCGTTATCATAGTTGCTATAAGCTACCAGACCCCTTGAAATCTCATTATCTTCACCGGGCGCTTCGCAAATTACTGTAACCGATACCTAACCATTAGGGGTCGATCCTGTTCAATTTGGGCACCCACCGTAACAACCATGGTGAAATTGATAGAAAGAAAATTTAATTTTATTTGAAGGTGGTATGATGAAATTAAAGTGGTAGTTCGTGGCTTGTGTGTGGGATGTAATGGTAGGATTATTTGTAATTAGATTTTATATTTTTGTTGTGTTCGTTTTTATCTTTGCAACTTACTTATAAAGTATATACTTATAAAATAAAATGCCATAAAAAAAGAAAAATAAAATAAGTTAAAGTTTTGTTCGCACTGCGCTAGTATTAGCGCTAGTATCTTCGATTGTCGCGGGAACCAAACGGGTTACCGGGGCTCCGGCTCGAAGCGCAGGAGAAGGAACGGGGTGGTTTTTAGTCAGTTAGAGTCTGACACTCCCTCCTGCCTCACCTAGGCGGGAGCAGTCATTCGATGATTTATCCCACTTAAAAAAAAAAACAGTGTTTTCTTTTTTGGGGCAGAACAGAAGCGAGAGAAGGCTTTTAAATACTCGCTACTTGACTAAAATACTAGTGCAGTGCGAACAAGGCTTAAGTAATAGGTGATAGCAACCGCCTGCCATTCGCGATTTGAATGGGCTGACTGGTAAAAACTGAAATTAGTAAACTTAAGATGTACATGTCTACTTTAAGTTATATTACTGCTTAGCTTGGATTTTTGGTGCTTAAATATTAGGTGTTATCGCATCAAACGGCAGTGGTTTTTTCAACTAGATACTATCACGAAAACCCATATAAAATTTTTTCAGAGTTAAAAACCTTTGTAAAAACAGTTACGTCAATACGTGCACACGTATGCAGCCAAAGTGTTTTGTGTGTTAGACTAAAGAGTCCTTCAATACTTCAAAGCAGCAGCAAAGTCGGAAATAGCCTACCTTATAATTTAATTTGCGAAAATTGGTCCTAAACCGCTTGAACACCGGTATATAAAACACAATAGCAAATACATTTTGTCTCCCATTGACCCGATTTCGGCACACGACGGGTTAATCCTCTTATAATTATAGACCTTATTTCCGATGCTTAGTGTGAACAAATTTAAGGGATGTTAATGACACATATAGGCTATGTAAACATACCCTTCGATAATTGATAAAAATGATAATAATTGTTCAATAGAAATTAAACAGACTTCCTACCGCACAATTTTAACAAAGCATTATCGTTGTCATGGCAACCAGTCAACAGCCCGGGGGTGGTCACAAACATAGCTATCCCAGTATTTGCGCAGGCGCACATGTGCAAGCACATCCGGTACCTAAACCAATACTTTAGAACTTCTAAACAAATAATGCATCTACCGGGATCTTTGCCAATTTTTTGCTTCAGTAATGTCAAATATGTCAACGGATTTAGAGAGTGCAGTGTTTAAAATGTGTTTTTTAGTTTTTGTTTTTAATTTTTGATGGTCTCCTATTTTAAATAGATTGGTTTTAGATGGATTATTCTTTCAAATAGTTTCTGATCATAACATAACATAACATTATGCACTTTCTCCCCGAAGGGATAGGCTAATAATTAATTTTATTAATTATTGATTAATAAATAATTATGCAGTGGCATTAATAGATTAATCTCTGATTTGAAAATTTATTTTTGGGTTACAGTGCAAAAATTAAAACATTACTCTTCGACCAATAGGAGCTGAGCAGAGCGTGTGAAACCGCGCGAAAGTAGCTAGTGATAATATACGTATTAATTAGCAATATGCTTATTGGAACTGTTTAATAAGTGTGCGAAAGTTTGTAGGTAGGTGTACAAATCATTGTCCCAATTTCTGTCCACTCGGAATAAACAAATGACTCTTGTACTCCTATGACGTCAGCAGATTAATCCCAGCTACTGATTCATTAGTTACTTCTTTGATTTGAAAATGTCCAGACCAGTAATGACACACGGAGCCGAGACGTGGACACTAACAGTGTGACTGGTCCACCAATTTAAGGTATTTCAGCGAGCTATGGAGAGGGCTATACTCGGAGTATCTCTGAAGAATAGGATCCGTAACGAGGTGATCCGACAGAGAACTAAAGTTACCGATGTAGCCCAAAGGATTAGCAAGCTGAAATGGCAGTGGGCCGGTCACATTTGTCGAAGAACCGATGACCGCTGGGGTAGACGTGTTCTGGAGTGGAGACCGCGTCTAGGCAAACATAGTGTAGGGCGCCCTCCAGCTAGGTGGAGTGACGATATACGTAAAGTGGCTGGTAGTGGTTGGATGCGTAGAGCTGAAGACCGAGCTCAGTGGCGTGACATTGGAGAGGCTTATGTCCAACAGTGGACGAAAAAAGGGTCTTGATGAAGCGCGACATTGATTGCGTACCATCAGGCGTCCCATCTGCTCGTTTATCGATCGTCTTATCTTATAACCTTTTAAAACATATTCCCCTTTCTGTTCCCAGGTGTTACAGCAAGCAGGTAACATCGAGCGACTAGGTCGGTTCCTCTGGTCGCTACCAGCGTGTGAACGACTCCATGCTCATGAGTCAGTTCTTAAAGCAAAGGCGATGGTGGCCTTCCATAGAGGAAACTTTAAGGAGCTGTATAGACTGCTGGAGTCACACACCTTTAGTCCTCACAATCATCCCAAGTTGCAGAGCTTGTGGCTTAAAGGTGAGTTAAGTTGATGATAGCTAACTAGTCATTATAAAAGTCACGTCTGATACTCTTCAAAAGGGCTCAGAGGAAGAGGAGGGCTACTCGTGCTGTACGTGTACAGCGTCCTATAAAAATGACAACTTTTCAATAGTTAGAGAACAGACATAAAAAATAAAAACACAAAGGTGCACATTATGCCATTGTACAATGTAACACCCACTTTTCACTATTTATGTTATGAGTCCCATGTAATAGTGGGTGAGCCTATTGCCATATACCGGACACAATTCCAGGCACCGTGATTCGACTGAGAGTTTTTAAAAACTTAATAATACTTTGAATAATACCGCGCCGGAATCGAACCCGAGACCCCAGTCGCACTAGCGACCACTCGGCCAACGAGGCATGGAATAGAATGAATTTGTAAGCACCGGACATTGGAGTCGCGGAGAACCTAACGGGTTACCGGGGCTCCGTCTCGAAGTGCAGAAGTAGGAACGGGGTGGTTTTTAGTCAGTAAGAGTCTGACACTCCCTCCCGCCTCACCCAGGCGCGAGTAGTCATTCGATGATTTTCCCTCCTTAAAAAAATACCGGACATTATTCTGGACTCTGTCAACTCTGTGTTACTCCCACCAATTTCAAAATTGAGATTCTCGATTATATATATATAACTTCTATACTGGATCATAATATCCTTCTGCAGGTCCAAGCTCAATGGTTACACCTGCTAGTATGCCCGTAATATTATAATTATAAAGTTACGGATGACGGCTGACATTAGTTGGAAAGTCTCTGTAATAAGAATATTTGAACCAAAAATTGTCCTTCTTAAAGAAAGTCTGTCTTCTAACACTAAGTAGTACCTAAAATAGGCTATTACCACATATATCTAGTCATTGAGGGGGAGGCCTATGTTCAGCAGTGGACGTCCTGTGGCTGATATGATGATAATGATCACATCTATATAAGTGAATATGAATTCCCGTTCGTTAGTCTCGCTCAAACTTGAGAACGGCTGAACCGATTTAGCTGATTTTGGTCTTTGTGGAAGGGAATGTATAAAACGTGAGAAAAAAAGAATCTCACCTTTTAGGTCAACTAGTTTTTAATCATATTTAATTTTTGTATTGTAACTTTCGTGAGACATACTAAATAACGAGTAGCAGCGCGACAGTCGCCGCGTCGCGGGTCGCGAAATGCTGCTCATGAATATGAGCCTCTAGCATGGCTTGAAACTAGCTTGAGTAAGCCGAAAACATAATAATTCATATTTAATTTTTTTATCCAGCACACTACATGGAGGCGGAGAGGTTACGGGGCAGGCCGCTGGGTGCCGTCGGCAAGTACCGCGTGCGACGCAAGTTCCCGCTGCCCAGGACTATCTGGGATGGAGAGGAAACCTCTTATTGTTTTAAAGTGAGTATTATACTACATAACATAACATAACATCACGGCTTTTTATCCTCGAAGGGGTAGGGAGAGGTGCACATTTCGGCACTTAATGCCACTGTACAATGTAACACCCGCTTTTATGTTATGAGTCCCATGTAATAGGGGGTGAGCCTATTGCTATATACCGGGCACATTTCCAGCCTCCATGCTAATATTGAGATTTTTAAAAACCCAGTAATACTTTGCCCGACCCGGGAATCGAACCTAAGACCCCTTGCCGGGCAGTTGCACTTGCGACCACTCGGCCAATGAGGCAGTACTATACTCTTCTATACATATCGTAGTTATTAGAGAATAAGACGAAAACACTGAATGTTTTGCCGTGACAGCAAAGTAGATAGTATTTATATGGCAAAAAGCTGACGACGAAGAAGCCATTTAACTAAAGCTAAGTAAAATGTTGTTTTGTCCAGGAAAAATCCCGGTCAGTTCTTCGTGACTGGTACCTACACAACCCTTACCCCTCGCCGAGAGAGAAGAGAGAGCTAGCAGAGACCACGGGCCTCACCACTGTACAAGTAAGTTTACTAATGCACATTCATGTTGTTTCAATCTACGGCAGTCAGCTAGTATATTTAGATCACTGCAAGCATATGGAATAATACGAAATATGAATAAGGGACTCACAAAACATAGAACTTTAGCCAAAATAGGAGGCCTACACAAAGCGGTGGATGAACCCGAACTAGTACCTTGTCTTCTGAGTGCCAAGCACGAATAACTATCGCATTCGTAACGTAATAGTATCGAGAGCGTTCGGCGCTCTGATTGATTGAACCAACCAATCAGAACGCTTAACTCGCTCGACACTGTTACGATACGAATGCGATAGTTATTCGTGCTTGGCACCCAGAACTGAGAACTGTGGAATGATCTGTCTTCGGCTTTATTTCCGATTTGACCTTCAAACCTTCAACGAAAGAGCGTATTCCTTTTTTAAAGTTCGACGACGCACCCGTGTCTCGTCTAGTGTTGTAGGTGTCCATGGGCGGCGCTGTTCGCTTACCCGGAGGCAAAAAAAGTGAACCGTCTTCTCTATTCCATAAAAAAATAATTAACAAGAGATGATAGATTCTAGTTTCATAAAGAAGGTGTCACATTTTATGGGTGTTTCAAATTCTAAATTGTCATAAGGAGGGGTACGCTATTCTGCATTTATCAATTCGAAATTTTGAACTGAGCTCAATCGCATTGTCTGCCCGCCATTGGTCAAGATTATTTTCACAGCCAATGATATTGCGGACGGCGCGACGATCGAGTTTTCTTCGATCTTCCGAATTGAAAATTACAAAATAGCTTAGTAGTTTGCAAGACTTAATCAAAGTCAAAGTCAAAGCATACAGGTACTTTTGAAACGTCAACAAATACAAAATTCCGTCAGTCCGTCAGTGAAGCTAGGTGAAGCTAGGTGCTCATTCCAAAATGTAGATTCGAATGAAGAAGAACGAGCAAGAAACTCCATAATATAAAGAATAACCAAATTAGCCCATTCTTTATATTAATGCTTATCTCATAAGCTAGCTAAGCTCAAGCAATAAGCGTGAAGAACTAAATAAAAAACGCAGTACTCTTTATCAGGTAGTGCATGCCTCGTTCAGACGGTCAGTTGTGGTTGACGGTAACCTGAAACCGTTTCCTCAAACTATATGGATTGAATTACTCCATGCAACTATATATTATTCTATACGTATAAATATACTATGTATTAATCATCATAGGTTGTAAATTGCTTGATTGCTCAGTGGACATAAATACTGCTGCTGAGTCTTCAGTTCTCTGAATTGTAAAATGATGTAGGTGGTATTTTGTTCATTAGAATAGGGACGATGACAGGGTATGAAAATTAAAAATCTAATTAGTCCGTCAGTTAGGTAATGAAAAAATATTAGACACGTATTTTTTTATTTTGTTCTATAATAAAATGATACTTAGATAAAACGAATCAAAGTTTAGGAGTGAGGGCTAAAACGTCATTTCTACGTATAAAATGTACACAGAACTGACGTCACGCGTCATTTCAAATCAATATATCGACAAAAGTATTCGTTTCTGTAAAAAAATAAAAATACGACTGTAATGTTTTAAAATAATCTAGTAGACGGGCATTAAAATAAAAATTAGTCATCTACCCTACTTTGGTGATGGTTAATTTTGTCTGCTGTGTGAACTATGAATGTATGAACCTATAGGGACTTTATGACTTGGAAAATTGGCAGTAGGAACTTGAAGGAAGTTTGGAATTTTCATTACTTTCATAGGTACTCCAATAGTCTTACCTACATAAATAGATGAAGTTGTAAGAATCACTGTTATAGTCATTTCAGCCCCAAGAAGTCCATTGCTGGACATAGGTCTTCCTACCTATAGGTACCTAATACATACTTCTTTTATCTATATCTTAAAAGATTATGACAATAATAAGGTACTAAATACATACCTTTGGTTTCAGGTTTCGAATTGGTTCAAGAACAGACGACAGCGAGACAGGCAAGCAGAACACAAAGACAGGTTAGTCATTGGTTTTATAAGTTACTTGCACAGTTAGTGCAGTAGCTAGGTCCACAGGTTCTTATTCGATTCGATCTGTAATCATCGACAGCTGGTGACAGGTTCCTACTGAACTATAGGCCTCCTCTACATAAAAGGGTTTGTTATAATATCCAGGTGTGGCAAGTGGAGATCTCAGTCTGAAGATCTAAGGTGTGATAGGAACTACCAGGTCTCTGCCAAATTGCCCTTGTAGTGCGTTCTTTAGATGATTATGGGAAGAATTGGTGTTTTTTCTTAATCGGGGAAAATCATCCAATGACTTCTCCCGCCTGGGTGAAGCGGGAGGGAATGTCAGACTCTTACTGAGTAAAAACTACCCCGTTCCTACTCCTGCACTTCGAGCCGGAGCCCCGGCAAACCGTTAAGTCCTCCGCGGCGGAAGAATTCGGTACTTGCCAACTAGTCAAATTCATTACATTTATCGAACTGTCAAAAACAATAGTTTTCTATAAAATGAAGCGAAATCTCCAAACCAAAACCCCCCATTAATTTTTCACTCAGGAACACAGAGTGTTAGTTAGATACTTCGTGTTGCAGTCACCTCGACTTGCCCCTTCGGGGTAAAGGCATGATTTCTGTGATTCCAAACGTTATTTAGCAAAAACAATTAACTGAATTGTTCCCGACTTTCACAATTTTGTACTAAAACTATTTCTAAACTAGCTAACTCCCGCGCTGTGCTCAGCTCCAATCGGATACTTGCCAACTAGTCAAATTCATTACCTTTATCGAACTGTCAAAAATGATAATTTTCTATGAATTTTGTACGAGATTGAGTATTATGACGTCACGTTTTTAACGTGAAACAGCTTGCTTATTTCTTAAAAATTTGCTGGAAAAATACTAAAATGAAGATAGTCATAAAATCAATGACTGAAAGTGTGATTATTTTTTAATATTTGATTGCAGTTAACAGTCGAAATAATTTATTTTTGATTAAGGCGAGTTCCCAATTAGTGTTGTGTGTTATTTTTTATGTTCATATAACCACGTATGTTATCGGTACCATTATAAGTTTAGCTGACTTAAATTATTTTAATTGTTTTTATAACATTTAGCTGACAATGTAATATTTGTAACTTATAACATAACAATATCGAGTTACAACATTCACTGCTAATGAGGTTTCAGTGTTTGTAGGTTGAACGCGTGTATAACCAGGAAGGACTGTAGGTTCGATTTCTGGGTCGATTCAAATGTGTTGATCTGTTTGTTATTTGGGATTTATGTGGAGTTGGTAATTGATTAGGTTTGCAGTTTAAATTATGGTTTAAATTACATGAATACGTGTGACGTTTAAAAAAATCTCAGTAGTAGCACGGAGTCTGGAATTGTGCCCGGTATATGGCAATACGCTCACCCCCTATTACATGGGACTCTTAACATAAATAGTGAAAAGTTGGTGTTACATTATACAGTGACAAAATGTACACCTCTGCCTACCTTCGAAGATAAAAGGCGTGATGTTATGTTATGTCCTTAATCATATCAGTATGATGAAAACTTCACCAAAATAACATTCAACGCCCGAACAAACTTACAGACGTAGATTTAATCTAATGTTATCTATAAAAATCACAATATAACAAAATAGAATATACTGTATGAAATGGCTATCGACGTGTAAGATCTGTTATCTTAATCTCGGCAGCTGCGCCGGCGCATCCATGCAGAAATCCCGGGTTTGACCGCCCAAATACCAAATGGTTAAGCGTGAGCCGGGTTTTAAGTGCGGGAATTTAAAAATTTTAGTTCTTAACCGTAACATTCTCTTCATCACCATCATCGATCAGTAGCCCTCATTGATTTAAAGTTGAGCAAGCGTGGTTATTAATGCTCAAACCTTCGTTGTGTGATAAGAAGCCTTTGCTCAGCAGTGGGCACTTTAATGTACTTTGACCTACCAACACCAAGAGCTATTAGTAGGTTTCAAACCCTCATGCATGAGAAGCGGCCGTCTTAAACCTCTGAGCCACCACGACTCTATCGTCACTATCTTACTAATATTATGAAATTTTGTTAGTTTGTGTCTCTGTTTATAAGTCAATCACTTCAAAACGACTGAAGGGATTGAGATAAAATTTGGAACAGAGATAGATTATGGTCTGGAATAAGACAAGCCACTTTTTAACCCACGAAAACGAAGCGCAAATTAGTCATCTACACGATCTCCGGCCACCGTAAGCACGGGCCTGCGGACGGCGAGCACTGGTGACTCGCCGCCCGAACAGCGTCGCGTTCCGCACGCGCCCAAGGAGCCATCAGACCACCACGGATGGGGCCCAATAGGGCTAATGCCGATACGGAGCCGCGGAAGACATAACGGATTGCCGGGGCTTCGGCTCGAAGTGTAGTAGGAACGGGGTGGTTTTTAGTCAGTAAGAGACTGACACTCCCTCTCGCCTCACCCGGGCGGGAGAAGTCATCATTGGATGATTTTTCCCCTTCGCTAGTCATCTATATACAAAAACGAACACAACCGATGAAATAGCTAGTACTTAAATAATAAATTCATAGCTTTTTATTAATTTTACCGTTAGTGTCATTATGGAGTTTCAAATTACAATATGTGTCATGTTTTCAACAAAATGGGTCATTGACATGTCGGTGATATGACACTCTGACAACTTTTTTTATTGTTTTTTTTTTTATCTACAAATAGTATGGTAACAGGTATTGTGGTCCACGGTCAAAACTAAAATGTTAAAGTTAATTTTGTTCGTCGAAGGATAAAGTTGAATTTAGTCTGTAGCTTTTTTAAAAATTGTAAGATGAGACTTTATCAGGAGAGGTCTATGTCAGCAGTTGACGTTCTATGGCTGATATGATGATGATGTTGGTGCAGAAGAGAAGACTTTATTGCCAAACACCTTGGAGCGAGACGACATTTTGAGAATCGTACCGAGATTCGCGGTTATTAAAAAATTCAATAGCATTTTGCCAACTAGAAGTCATAGTTAGCCATATCTCAATAGATATATGTCGAGATGTCTCGAGAGATATACAATAGATACACATCTTTAAATCATAGTATTATTATATTATGCGAAAGTTGGAAAAAAGGGAACTCTGTTCTTCGTATCATAAAAATTGATTCATCACGTTTTGTTCGTACAAAACAGTTGTCCATTTACTAATTCCTACGTTTTTAAAACATACGATATCCGAAAAGCCATCACTAAAAACATCGCAGAACTTGTCCTCACTACGATATTTTTCCAAATTATTCTTCCACAAAGCCAACAACAGTACACAAACACACAGACATAGGTATAATAACACACAAAGAGGGGAGTACACGTTTGCCTATCCATTTGGCTGGCTTCAAACGAAACCTGATACCCAACATAGTACATCCCTGGAAATTATGCCCTTTACAACGCAAAACCAACCTTATTCCTTCTACAACAACGTAGTAAATTAAATATACGAACGAAAATAGTACATCCAACGGTTACTTTATAATAATTTCCAATTTAGAATATTATCGTTGGAATATTTGAATTTTTGCGTTCGAAATATTTAATTGAATAATGTTTATGGTTCAATATGGCTGCTGTGTTATGTCAATTTGCGCAGTGTATGATTGGCGGCAAAAATAATGATAAGTTTTTATCAGGTTATTAATAATGGGATGTCATTTAGTTATGGTGAGAATCGAGGTATGGATTTCGAATGAGCTGTAGTCTCCCATTTGATTGTTTAATCGATTAGTTTAAAATTTTAATGATTTTAATAAATATCTAATTGTAATCGTTTAAAGGATACTATAGGCCTACTGTGTGGTCCACTCAATTTCATTGGTTATGATATTTTCAATTTTGTTTTAACATGCACAAGGGGACACTGGGTAAGCCAGTGTGAGGTCTCAGGATTTTCAGGATTAAAACCTCAGATAACTTTGATTAATCATGCCTTCTTTTTCATCAGATTACAATGTATAGTTTCATTTTAGTTTGTGTCAATTAACAATAACATCAATCTGAACAGACTTCACGTATTTTAATGCTTGTTTGAGTAGGGACGCAGTGCACATATCTGATATTAAACTAACGTGCTGTCATCAGTTACGTTATGAACAGTCCCATGTAGAGATTCATTGCATCGATCTGAAAATCGTCACATATTTACAATAGGGTAGATGCCTAATGTAAATAAATAATAATTTTTATTTTAATGTCCGTCTGATAGATTATTTTTAATAATTAGACACGTATTTTAGATTTTCATACAGCAACGAATACTTTCGACGATATATTGATTTGAAATGTCGCGTGATGTCACTTCTATGTACATTTTATACGTAGAAATGACGTTTTAGCCCCCACTCCTAAACTTTGATTCGTTTTATCTAAGTATTGTTTTATTATACGACAAAACAAAAAAATACGTGTCTAATATTTTCTCAATACCTAACTTAGGACTAATTAGATTGTGAATTTTCATACCCTGTCATCATCTCAATTACGTTCTTAAATAACAAGAAATAAAGACAAGTGACAGTCTGAAATCCTATTTCATTATCCATATATTAATTAAGTGACAACAGACGAGACACAAGATCTTAATTCATAAAACTTCACACTGTTAAAACTTGTCCAACTGTGGGATGCAGTATCTATATTGGATACCATCCAATGACGTATCGTGTATTAGAGAGAGAACAGGCTATAGGTACAAAAGGGACAGCTATATGTAACTCGACACCTTCACATCTGCGGTCTAAAAGCGTACAGGGACGTACTTGGGCCACTGTATTGTTGTAATAATTGATGTATTTTTTACTTTTAACGTATTACTTCCTGAAAGAATGTTGGATCAGCTGCCTTGTTTTGTTAAAAACTTTAAATAAATACGCGTAGGGTTGGTGATTTGATTGAGACACAGGATATGTTATTTGGTGAGGGCTTAAATTGTTGATAAAGTTTAAATTATGATGAAGTTGAACGTATGTATTG